TATGTAGTATTATTATGTTCGCAATTATTAGAAAATATTTAAATATTACAAGTAAATGCACAATAGTATGTAACTCACTCATTTCATGTATTGCATCAAGTAAATGTGTAAATACTACACTGTAAGAAATGATATGATCAGTTAGTCATAACTACATATATTTTTAGTTCATTTTAACTTGTTAAACTAAGTTAATCATGTTCTAACTTAATTTTATAAGTTATGCATGTTGTTTTAAGTGAGTTTAACATAATATAAGTTCTATGAACTCATAAAGTTAATTTGATTCAGCTTAAAAATTTAAGGAAACCAGGATAGTTTACAGTGTAGTTATCCTTGACATTTTCAGTAATATTACAGTTTAAAGATTTTGAGAGTAAATTTATTAGATTTTACTACACCAAGAAGTTATTTCTTTCAGTGTGTGAATCTGAGTCTAGAGCTTGTCAGATTTATAAAATTGTTTAAAAAAAGTCTAGACTACTACTGTAGTTCACTTTCATTTTTATAAATCCACAAAAGATTTGTTAACCCTAGGGCTAAAAGACTGTAGCAAAGGAGCCATTTGTGAAATCGTAATTGATGATCTATTTTTTACAATCTGTGGGTAAAATTTAATTAAATTATTTATTGATTTATTTAACACTGTTTTTTATTTATTTTGTGACTGTATTAATGTGACCTGATGGAATTATGGAACCACAGAAGCAGTTGTAAAATGAAACGTAGCCCTGTTTTGTAATAAAATGGCTTTTTAAAATTCTCTCTTTCCCTCTGCCTCTCTTTTTCTCTCTCTCCTTGCATTCGTAGAGCATTAAACCTCAGGCCAGTGTTAATTACAAGTGTTGTGTTTGTGCCCTGCTTGTGTGACCTTCCCATGTAGTCCGATTATGTGTTTATCGCTGGTATAGAGGCCGTATTGATCAGTCAGTGGGGTACAAATTAAGATTTAAACTTGACGTCACGCGATCTATTGAGTTTTGCATCGGAGGCATTTGCAGTATGCAAGAGTCATTGATTGAGACAGATATATTTAACCGAGTGAATGCGGCTGGCTGTGAGTTTATGGGTTGCACGTCTTCAGGCAGTCTCTGACTTAAAGAGGTCAAACTTTATATTTTGTTGTATTAAAACATTGTGTATTATATTCGGGTTGTTAGTTTATTTAAAGTAACTATAATCTCTAAATTTTTTTTGGTAATTTGATGGGAATTTTTTAAAATTTTATTGTTCCACAGATATAGTGTGATTAATCTGTCCTCAGGAAATATTTTTTAATGATGTATGTACTGTATGTGGGTTCATGTGGAAGTGTTTCTGTTAAAGGTTATGATTCGGAAATTTTTATTTTTTTTGAACTGGTGAAGATTGTTCATTGTTAAGTTATGTGAGGAGTATTGTTAAGGTGTTTAAATTCTTACTGAAGATGCATCTTTTTATAACGGCTTTTTGTGTGGAGTAAATGCTATCAATATTGTATGACTTGACATCTTTATTGTGAATTTTGATCTGTTTTATATGGCCTTCTGTTTTGTGAATTTATTTATTTATTTTTTCATATTTCACTCTTTACATTACTACTTTCCTTTTGTGGATTAGGAAACAGTGTTATTTGCACTCCACTAAAGACATCTATTACCCTACATATTTAATTTAATTTGTTAAGCTCAAATATTTGTTTCAAAACTATTTCTGAATTCAGTTTTAATTTCCAGCACAAAATTCCAGTTCAATAAAAAGTAAAGTGTCCGAAAAAAAAGGAGTTATATCCAAACACCTGTCCAATTTTTGGTTTGTTTCAGTATTAGATTAGTAGGGAACTAGATAGCCTTTTATATTAACGTTTCAATACAAAACATTTTAGGCATTTGTAAAATAGAAAACAAATTAGTTGTTTTTGTATTAAATATAAAAATATAAATATTTATTTTGGTAGATATGTTACACATCGGGTGTGTATGTTTTTGCCAGTAACTTAACTGCCAGTTATTTGTTTATAATATGGTTGGCACACCTGCAACTTGTTCAAACGCTTGAACAAAAAGCATTCTACCACAATACTCGTCAACGAGGAGGACACCGGCACTCAAAAACACAGTGCAGGATCGGGAGTGAAGGTATCTTCTGAATGTGAAGAGACGTGTAGCTGCTTATGGGACCATTCACCCATCACGTCTTTTTTTCATATTCGGAACACATATTGCTCACGCTCGCATTTTACAGGCACACATAGTTGAAAACCGCAAGTCATAAGAACTGACCGATCTGCCTTATACTTTGTATGTAATATACAGATTTAGGTATAAGTACACTAATTACATCAAATAAACACAGAAAACCCAAACACTTAAGTGCTTTTAATACTATGGATGTCAATGGTTACAAGTATCCAGTTGTCCTCTAAATGTATTCTTTAATGTTTAAAACAAACAGACAAACCGGTTTGAAACAAGTGAATGATGAGAGAAGTTTAGGGCGAACTATCTCTAAGTCTTTTGAATGTGTCAGACTGCTGTGATCAACCCATTGTAATGTTTATTTGTGAATAATAAATTACTGAAAGAGTTGTAGTTTTAGTATTTTTTTAATAGGTTTTATGTTTTAAAAGTAACTTTAAAGTTATTAGTAATCTGATTACTTTTATATGAAGTAATTAGTAATGTAATCAGATTACAATTTTCCAGTAGTATTCAGTTATTTATAATCTATTACTTTTTAAAGTAACTTATCCAACAGTGGTGTGTAGTATATAATTATTAAATTGGTTAGTTAGTATAATAGTGTAATATATGTTTGTTAGTTTACAATATATAAATTGATATACATTTTCTTTAACACATTATTAACATAAGTTTAAAAAATAGTTTTTGTCTTTGCCAGTACCATTTTTAGTTTTGTTATATATAGTTATTATTGTCAATAGCTATATTCATAGTTATTTTGCAAGTTACTAGTATTAAGCTTAAAGTGCAATTATATATGTGTACACTAAGGCCCCGTTTACACTGCCAGGTAAATGTGACCTAATTCCGATTTTTTTGGTCGTATGTTACACAGATCGGATCTGTTCTATGACCGTGTAAACACGGAAAAAAAGGCATGCATTCGGATATTCAGAAATCGGTTTCAGGCCTCCTTCATATGTGGAAATAAATCAGATATATATCGGATATGTGACAATGCGACTGTCATGTAAACAGGCAGATCGGATTTATTGAGGCATTCCGTTCGGTACATAATTAAACTTGTGACAATGTGGTGCTTCTCTGCAGTTTAATGACAGAAAGAAGAGCGTGTGTGGAGATGCCAACGCGGTAAACAACACCAGAGTAAACACAGAAGAGGAAAGTGGTCAGTCGCCACGCACCACAATTTGCTCCCACCAGACCTGAGATCTCTCTTGTACCCACACATTCCTCTGAATGGCAGAGGATATCATAATGAAAACCATAAGCGCAAGCTGCAATGACGGCCCTTTCCCATCTCCGCCTCAAAATCATTTTAAAGTTGGGCGAACTTCGTGTTGTAACTTTCGCTTTTTGTCACTATTAATACGCACTGCGGGCTACACAGAACTTTATTCTCTCCAACACCAGTGCGCACACAGCCAAAAGCTACATCTTCAACTACACACACACATTAGGGCCAAACCATTACATAAACTGCGTGGGGGTAAATCTCGACTAAACCATTCACTGCTTATACTACACTACGTATTTTTCGCACAGCTAAAAAAGAGACAATTTCTTCCACCATTTGTCTGCTGTTTATTCATTTTCTTGTCAGCTTAGTCCCCTTATCAATCCGGGGTCGCCACAGCGGAATGAACCGTCAACTTATCCAGCAAGTTTTTACGCAGCGGATGCCCTTCCGGCCGCAACCCATCTCCAGGAAACATACACACACACTCATACACTACGAACAATTTAGCCCACCCAATTCATCTGTACCGCATGTCTGCAAACTCCACACTGAAACGCGAACTGAGCTGAGGCTCGACCCAGCAACCTTCTTGCTGTGAGTCGACAGCACTACCTACTGTGCCACTGCTTCACCCCTCTGCTGTTTATAACGAAGTAAAATTAAATAACTCTGCAAATGGAGATAAACCAACTCTGCCTTAACAGTTCAGTCTGCGGCTGTTCACTACACGGGTGGTCAGACAGACTCACATTGCGGTTGTCATAAATTACAAACGATCAGTGTTTTCAATCAGAAGTGACTTATTTTAGATTTAAATTGCAGAAATACACATTAGTAGTAGCAGAACAACCCTTTACAGTTCATGAAATACACCACGGTTGTCTGTGAAAAGGGCAATAATCATATAAGCATGATCTGACAACGTGCTTGCGTTATATAGTATCACGTGTGCATAATTAGACATTTTGTGCTGTCAGTAATTGTACTTTTGCGCATGCAGGTCAGTTTAGGACTATGATCTGTTCACACTGCAAATCTGATATTAACCACATTTATAAGAGCAGTGTGAACAGCCATGCAGAAAAATTAGATCTGAGAAGAAATCTGATTTGAGCACTAAGACTCACAGTGTGAACATAGCCTGAGAAATACTGTGAGGATTTCTGTGCTCTGTTAAACAGCACTTTAATAATATTATAAAAAGGGCTTAAAATGTAGATTTCAACTGTAAATATAACCCTCCAAGCCTCCATTGCTGATTCCAAAATGCCAATTTAGTGCTAGCAAGCGAGGCATGTGCCATCAATAGCAAACAAGTGACAGATAATTGTTAGTTGATTGACTGATTGATTGATGAAGTTTGGCATCACTGTCTCAACTAATCATTTGCTGAAATGATACAGAACTGTAATGTTCTTCAGCTTTGTGTTTCACTGAAAGTAATGGTGCACCAAAAAACATTTACCCAATCAGAATCAAGAATTTACTGTAACAGCCTAGTAGTATAATATTTTAAAGTATCAATGCATCATATGACCCCTTAACCTCTTCAATTGTTTCCACTCTTTGTTTTTTAGGAAAATGGCAGTCCAGAAGAACACACACTCTATGCCTGGGACTACTTCATCTCGAAATCACTTGCCAAAAACATCTTCATTGTGGCACACAGCTATGGCGGCTTGTCTTTCGTCAATTTGGTAAGTTTTTGTAGTGATTGTTATTATGAAATGCCCACCCACATCCATCCAACCCACACACAGTTACCATTACTGGTGGGAAAAGCAGCAAAACAAAGAGTGAAATGATTAAACATAAATAATGCTTAGTTTCTTTGAGATGGTGTTGCTTTTGGAAACGGTCCAGTTCATCCCTGGCCTAAGGCACTTGAGCAAGAGGAAGGATGAAGGAAGAATGAGAAACTGCAAAGCTACAGTTTTCTTAAAGTATCTAGACGAGTATACATGACATTAGAGTTAGAGAGACAAACAACTGACTCTTACATCATTTGTCATCTGTCTGTCTTTCTGTTTTGTTGATGGTTAAAGGGTTACTGCGACACAAAATGGACATTTGGCCAGAACGTTTCTTATTCATTTCATTGTACAGTATAATAAATACTGTGTTTACATTCTTTTTTGTAATTAAAACAGTTTTTTAACATGATAGTTTAGGTTTTTAGGTAATTATTTAATTAATTAATTTATTAATTATTTATGTATTTATTTATTTGTTTGTTTGTTTGTTTAATCTTTTGTTTATTTATTTGTTTACTTTTGTTGTTGTTTTACTTGTTTGCTTCATTATTATTATTATTATTATCATCATCATTATTATCATCATCTTTTTTATTATTATTAATATCATCATCATTATTTTCATCATCCTTATTATTTTTATTTTATTTATTGATTTTTTTTTCTTTCTGGGTTTGGTTTTAATGTATTTTTCAGTTTGTTTTTATTTATTTATTTTTTTATATTTTGTATTTTTACGTTTTTCACATCTTAAAGAACAAACCCATAATCCACCTCATGCCAGCAAATAAAAATAAATGTATACAAAATATAAATACATATATGCACATGTACATCCACAACTGCACAAATATTCCTCAATGAATAATCTATACCTGCACATATCCACAAGTCAACTTAAACATCTGCAAATATACTGTTGCAGTCAGAAATATTAGCCTCCCCTTTAAATTTTATTTATTTATTTTGTTATATTTCCTAAATTATGTTTAACAGAGCAAAGGAATTTTCACAGTAAGTCTAATAATATTTTTTTTCCTCTTTTGAAAGTCTTATTTGTTTTATTTTAACTAGAATAAAAGCAGTTTTTATTTATTTTAAAACATTTTGACGTCAATATTATTAGCCCCTTTAAGCTATATATTTTTCGATAATCTAGAGAACAAACCATCGATATACAATAACTTGCCTAATTAACCTAACTTGTCACTTTCAGCTGTATAGAAGTGTCTTAAAAATATCTAGTCAAATATTATTTACTGCCATCATGGCAAAGATAAAATAAATCTGTTATTAGAAATGAGTTATTAAAACTATTATGTTTACAAATGTGTTTAAAAAAAATTCTTTTCTCTGTTCAAACAGAAATTGGGGAAAAAAATAAACAAATAGGGTGCTAATAATTCTGACTTTTACTGCACATTACATATAGAGCTTATATACATCGTTAATGGAAATGACTAAAAAAAGTAAGAGAAAAAGAGATAAAAAATAAATAAAAATACATAAAAAGTCAAAATCATTATCATTGGTCAGTCTCCAGACATTTAAAAAAGGGCTTCCAAATTTTCAAAAATTTATTTGGTTTCCCTGCATTCTCATAACTAATATTTTCCATTTATAATACATCACAAAATTTTGTTAGCCATGTCTTAAATGTATAACTATTGTTCATTTAGCTATAGTCATTCCATATTGTCTGGATTTGATCCAAAGTACAGTTTTCAAAGGAAGGAGCCCAACCCAATATTGCAAGAGGGTCAGGAGGAAAATCAATCATAAATACTTCAGGGTAAAAAGAGAACACCTCAGTTTAATAAGTAGACATTTTGGGCAGAACTTTGTTTGTATTTTATTGTTGTGTCTTTCTTTGTTAGGCTTGGTTAAAGTGTTTTATAGTCTGGCTTGGTTACTATTTGTTTTGCTTTTTGTTTCCTTTTGGATTTTTTTCTTTTTCTGTTTGTTGTTTGCTTTGTTTGCTTAATTAGTTCTTTCTTTTTTAGCTTTGTTTCAATGTAAACTTTTTATTCTATTTAAAAGGAAAATAAAACATTTTTATTTAAGAATTTCAAATGAACTATACAATAATTATAATTGTAATTTAATGTAACATTTTAGGCAGTAAAATGTTATATACATCTTTATTTTGTTCTTTGCCTTTTACAACTCATCTGCTGAAATCTGCCCTTTTCTTCATTGGTCTCCAACTGGATTGCTGGAGGGCCGCAGCTCTGCACAGTTTTGCTCCAACCCTAATCAAACACAGCTGATCCAACTAATCAAGGTGTTCAAGACTACTAGAGACTATTAAGCAGGTGTGAGAAGGACGTGGTTGGAGATAAACTGTGCAGAGCTGCACCCCTCCAACAATTGAGTTTGAGACCATTGTAAACTGATCAAAGATAAGTATTATTATGCCGTACTGAAATTATTTTGCATCAAAAGATTCCTCTATTACATCCATTTTTTTATTTTTTAAATTGTCTCAACGTATAAGAAGGTGTCTGCCAGGAACTGGAAAGTTTTAATTCTAATTTATATATGCTCTTAAAAATGCTGCAAGGACATGAGTCTGGAGATTGCTATTTTGCCATTGAATGCTGTATTCACATTTATTTATTTTTCAATAATCTGCACTTTTACTTCTCAACATGTTTTTCATACCGGTTGAGTATGCTGGAATATGCTGCCAAATTTAAAGTCATTCATTGTGAATGCCTTTGGTTGTTGTGTTTCACTTCAAGTGGAGGTGAAGATTTCCAGACAATAATGTTTTGGTCTGTTCCTCACCCAAAGCTATTCTCTCATTTTAAAAGACTTTCAATATAAAATCTTCAACTGGACTGTAATGTCCTTGAAAGCTTTCTATTTGTTTTTTTTTTTTTTTTTGTTTGTTTTTTTTAAATGATTACTCAAATCATCCACTTCGTGTTTTATTTTTTTTATTAATTTTATTTTTTTCATTTATTTTATTTTACCTTATTTTTTCTTCTTATTATTTATTATTTATTTTTTTATTTATTATTATTATTATTATTATTTATTTATTTATTTTTTTATTATTATTTATTAATTTTTTAAAAATATTTTATTTAATGACCAATAATGTTTTGTGTTTTGGTCTGCTTCTCACACAAAGCTGTTTTCTGATTTTAATATACTTGGATTGTATAATCTAACTACTTCAATGTCCTGAAAGCAATGGAATTTTATTTATTTATATATATATATATATATATATATATATATATATATATATATATATATATATATATATATATATATATATATATATATATATATATATATATATATATATATATACATATATTACGCTTTATTGTTTTTATTTTATTTTCTATAATATTATTATTATTTCTAATTTTATTTTATTTAAATTTTTTTTTTCTATATTATTTTTTATATCATGAACCCAAAGGTGATCTACCCGGCATTACATCACCTCTGGTGTCAAAGGTCAGATAGCTTGTCACAGTCAGTAATTTGTGTATCTAGACTATACAAGGACAAGTTTTTCTACAGTAACAGAAACACACACTGTCTTGCCTTATTTCACACACACTTATGCACCTACATTGTAGCACTTTTGATGAACCCGTTCTACTTTTCTTTTTAACGTGAGAGGAGGGAGGGCCACGACTTTAGCATTCCTCTGATAGTTCCAGGAATATGTGTTTTTATCTGAGGCAGGAGTCTCTGTGTTTCGTAATTTGAATATAGCTGTTAAATATTTATGTGGCGTTGTGGCCGTGACAGGCCCTCGCTGGTGGAGCCATGGCGGTCTTCCTCCAGAGATCTGTTTAGTCGTCTTTCTCTGATGCATTTCTGTTTTTTGTGTGTTTTTTTACCCACTTCTTACTTACTTTGAGCACACACACACACACACACACACGGGTTGATTGTTCGCTCACACGGTATTTTTTAAAATGCTCATGCCTTTCATTGATTCATTTATCTTTGGTAAAAATGAAGTGGCAGGTACATTCTTTATTGGATGAAAATATCTAATTCAACACATCTATTTAGGTCTTATTAATTATTAATTAATTCATTCATTTTCTTTTAGTCCCTTTATTCATCAGTGGTCATCACAGCAGAATGAACCACCAACTTATCCAGCATATGTTTTACGCAGCGAATGCCCTTCCAGCCGCAACCAAACACTGGGAAACACACTATGACCAATTTAGCTTACTCATTTCACCTACAGTTGAAAGCAGAAGTTTACATACACTGTAAAAAAAAAAGGAACATAACCATTTAAAAAAAAAATTATAATGTCTGATGGTAAATCACACTAAATGTTTGCTATTTTAGGTCCGTTAGGATTACCTTACAATTGCTAAAAGCCAGAATAATGAGAGAATGTTTTTATTAGAGATTTTTTATTAATTTCTAGACAGTCAAAAGTTTACATACTTTTCTTTGGATTTTCTTTTTAGCTTTGCTTTAAAACTGTATAACTTTGGTAAAATGTTTTGGATATCCTTCCACAAGCTTCTCGCAATAGTTTGAAGGAATTTTGGCCCATTCCTCCTCATAGAATTGGTGTAACTGAGTGAGATTTGTTGGCTGTCTTGCTTGCACAAGCTTTTTCAACAATTTTCTATAGGATTGAGATCAGGGCTTTGTGATGGCCACTTCAAAACATTCACGCTGTTGTCCTTAAAGCACAGTTTAACTAATTTGGCAGTATGCTTAGGGTCATGGTCTGTTTGGAAGACCCATTTGTGGCCAAGTTTTAATTTCCTGGCTGATGTCCTAAGACTTTGCTTCAGTATTTCTACATAATGTTCTTTCTTCATGATGTCATCCATGCTGTGTCGTGGACCAGTCCCTCCTGCAGCAAAACAGCCTCACAACATGGTACTGCCGCCCCCATACTTCACGGTTGGGATAGTGTTCCTTGGCTTGTAAGCGTT